AGATATATATATATATATATATATATATATATATATATATATATATTTATAACTTTCCAGAACTGCCGTGCATGACGCGAAATTATAAAGGAAAAAAAAAAGAATCCGAACTTACATTGTGACAAATGTAATGAGTACTCTCCCTGGTTTTTCGAATGTTCTTATTTGAGTGTAATCCGAGCGTTTCAGTTACTTTTATCTATTACGATTTTATCTCGACTTTATTGTGGACTAGTGATAGCGATGATTCTTGGACTATTGCGGAATAAGTTGGCGATATTTATTCACTCTTATATGTTTTCATATACGCGTGGTCCACATCTCTTGATAATGTAGAACACATCCCAATACGTTAATGGCACCTAAAAATTTTTTTACGTTAATTCGTATAATAATGGCAATGACGTTGATGACGATGATTTGTTGAATAATAAAACAGAATTACTCTTTGCAAGAGTCGATGAATCATTGCGATTGACGTGTCCATGCCGCTACTTATTTTCGGGAGACTGTTAGATAAAAGGGTGAAGAGACATTGCGGTTATACCATTGTACCATAGAAGCATAATAATTAAATAAAGATAACGATAATTTGAATGCGAGAAGATGTCCCACGTTTTAATGTACAAATATTTTCGAATGAGATAGTTAAATAAAACGCAGTTAGATCAGAGAAAATGAATTCGTTCTCGTAAGTAGTGATGAGTTTAACATCTAAAAATTATGAGGAAAAGTGAGTGGTGTAAAGGCTGCTCTAAAAACCACACGGACTAAAAATCCCACTGTATGGAAACCAAGGAGATGGAGGTTGGACCGTGTAACGTTGATACTTACAGATAAAGAAAAAACAATTTCTTACCATCGGACGATTCGATGGTGCTAAAAAAGAAAATTTGAATACTCCTCATAAGTATGTGACGCGTCCAACAAAGCCAATCGACGCGTACAAGATCATACCATCTCCGGCAGTCTCTGTTAATCTACGGTTTTATACGCAATCTGCTGCTGTATTTTACACGTGTTTGCTTCAAGATAGTAACTTGACGATGACAAATTGGCAAAGGACTATCTTAAAGTACAGGTGCCTGAGCAAAATCAGTACTTTAGCGTTTCATAGTATACTATACTATACATACTATAAGCATAGGTCCATTTAATTTTATTAAATACAATGCCAAGCCCCGTTGGCAACACTCATCCAGAGAAAAAGAAAAGAAAGAGGAAAGACTTGCGTTTTGTACTGTGTCAAGCCCGGCAGAGTACGGTACTCTTTTTCGCGCTCGAGTACTCGACGCGATTCACAAAATTCACTTATTGGTGCTAACGGGTCTTACAATCAATCAGGCTGACGCCCACGTACCGTTACACCCCTATGTTTGTTAGGTAAGCATGAAAAAAAAAAGTTTAAGGCATCAAATCTGGTAAATGACACGTGTGTGTGTGTCACACGATTTAACGTAAACGAAAATCCTAGGCTAAGAATTTGGTTTGTGTGTTCATAAGTCTTGTTCAAGCTACTTTTGTACAGGATACCATCGCATTATCTCTTTCAACGTTTAACAAGTAACCGACACACCACAGACTATATATTTCTGCCCATTCCATCAGAACTGAAACTTTCATTGTATTTTTAAGTAAATACATTTTGGAAAACAACACGGATGGCTTTTTTATTCTTCACATGTGTATGTGAAGCGAAATATTTCTTCCCCACATTATATCGGTATACTTGCATAATGTATTGCCATATCCTTGCGAATACATTTGTGCAATTCTCAGGGACGCCGCCCGAGAGAGATTGTGAAATAAT